GGATGTGAAATCTCTAAAGACAGAGGATCTTGCAGGTAGCATAAGCACACTTGTCCCTATAACTCCGCTGGCAAAGGAGTCCAAGGAGTGCAGGGGAAAGGCAAAGGAGGAGACATCGCAAGTCACTGCGAGAAACCAATAAATTCCAAATATGAGTAATTTCATGCCTAATATCCTTAGGGCAAAATTTTTTTTAAAAAATGTTGGCAAAAGTTGCAAAGTGCTTGCTAAGTAATCCTATTGTCAGAAGCCAGGAGCAAATTTATTTCACAGGAAAATTACTGCTTCTATTTTCCCTTCATTTTGCACCTTTAATTATAAGGTAAAGGTAAAAGGTAAAGGTTCCCCTTGACAATTTTTTTTGTCCAGTTGTGTCCGACTCTAAGGGGCGGTGCTCATCCCCGTTTCCAAGCCAAAGAGCCAGCGTTTTGTCCGAAGACAATCTTCCGTGGTCACGTGGCCAGTGCGACTTAGACACGGAACGCTGTTACCTTCCCACCGAGGTGGTCCCTATTGATCTACTAGCACTTGCATGCTTTCGAACCGCTAGGTTGGCGGGAGTTAATGATAAGAGAACTCTTTAAAAAAAATTCAAAGCCGAAAAATCATAGAATTAAACAATTTCACAGCTCGAAGGGACCTTGGCTTTCATCTAGTTCAGTCCTCTGACAATGCTAGAATCTGACAACTGCAGCATCATCTCCGACAGGTTCAGATTATCTTTCAGAGAGTCGTGGTAAAGTGGTTACACTGAAGCACTGCCGTAAAAGACTCTGCTCACATCTTGAGGTTCATCCTGACTGGTTCAGGTAACCAGCTCAAGGTTGATTCAGCCTTCCTTCCTCGGAGGTTAGTAAATTGAGCATCCAGCTAATGGGGGGGTGGGCAGGGGTGGCCATGTGTAGCCTGCATTATTAAACTGTAAACTGCCCAGAGGGTACTTTAAGCCAGTGGTTATATCCCTGCTCATTTGGCTTTTCACTCAATAGATGGGAAAGCATCCATCAGTGTTTGGTATAGTTCAGCACCTGCTCTTCTGCATCATGACCTGCAAACTCACGACAGATTGAGCAAATGGATAATATATTGCACAATTCAAACTACAGAAGCCAGGGTTCAACACTAGGGTGCAGGCTGCTAACATTGATGTTTTTAAATACAGAAAGCATACAGAACTAAGATCACAGCTAGCTTATCTTTCTAGGAAACCATAGGAGGGAGGTCAACAGCAGGCAGCCCTCATTCTCTCACGCCCCAAATAACTTCCAAGCAGAAGATGTCCCTCCCCGTTTTCACCTTCTCAGCTCATCCCAAAGAACAAAAGATCAGCGCTGCCTGATGCTGCCCCTTTAGCCCTTTCTCCATTCAGAGTGACTCCACCCTGATCCTAGAACAAAGGCCAAAAGGTGTATCTCTGGCAGTCTGCCAGCACTGAGTGGGTGCAGCAAAACGATTTGGACAAAGCCCTGATTTTGAAAGCATACTTCGGTCTGTTGCCAGCCTGGGATGCCTGGGACAGAGAGAGATACTAGGAGAGATGCCAGATCGGCATGAGTTTTATTGTGAGTCTTTGGTGGCTGGGAAGCTTAAAAGTTTCTGGAAAGGCAAGAATTCTTTCTGAACGGTGTGTGCGTATGTGTGTGTGTGTTCCCATCATGAAGTGGAGAAGAGGCTTGACAAGATGAGCACAAACTGTAATGAAAGCAAAATCATAAAATTTCCACATGTGTATGCATGCATAGGCACACGTGTGTAGTGAAATCCTCTTTTAAAAACAAGACATTAGAAAATATCCACTGTCATGATGAGAGGGAGACCATATGTGCGGGGAAGACGTGTCTCTACACAATGAAGTGCAATGTTCACAGGATATTAGGCCATGTAACAGGCCATTCCAGAGGCCAGGCCAGCCAGCCACTGGCAGCAGCACGAGGCAGACTTGTCACCCCCACAGCACTATCCTCTTTAGTCTTCTTCATAGGGGGTGAATGGAAACCATCCACCTCTCTGAGAGAGAACAGAAAGATGCACTATGTAATGGCCCAGTGTCTGCCTTGTCTCTGTCCAAAGTGCATCTCATAAATTGGCCAATTTATTATGCAAGCCATTGTAAGCTATTGCTGTTACACATCAAATCACTTCCGACTTCTGCTGACCTTACGAACTCCTGCACTGAGAAAGGTCACATCACTAACAGCCCTGCTCATGTTTTGTGTACAAAAAAGGCCATCGCTTCTTTTACTGCTTCACAGTAAGATACTTCTATGTACACAAACCTGAAGAAAGCCTGCCATTTTCACGATCGTCCTGCGTCCATCTTGTGTTTGTTACTAGCCCGTTCCATACACGGATTTGCTCTTCATGAAGCCCTCCATTTTGACTGTGTCTTCCGACTCCACCTCCTTTCCCCCTGCCCCACCCCCAAATCTGAGAACCACAGACATTTCCTTTAACTGAAGACACCTCTGTCTTTGACTATATCTAAAGTGGGATAAGTAAGTAGGTAGCATGTCAGGCACTATCCGCGCGAGTGCAGAGACAGCCTGCCTGGGCACGATGGTTCCCTTTGCCATCCCAGGGGACCGTTCACAACTGAGGAAGATGGGGAGGGAAAGTAATACTCAGAGCAGCCAGGTGAAAAAATGGGCTAAACTCTGGAAGCAGAGGAGCAAGAAAGGCCAAGACTGTAAAATTCTCTCTGCTCCTCACCTGATCACAGGGAGAGGGAAGACTACATCAAGCAATGAGTATCAGGCCTCCACCAGATGCTCTGACACAGCTAAGAAATGCAGATCTCTGCCAGAAAGAACAGGATAATGTCACAAAAAATATAAAAAGGCGTATTCCGAGAAAACAGCTCAATACATGTGTATGCATGCATGTCCTCACACTGTATAGGAACATAAGAAGAGCTTTGCTGGAACGGGCTGAAGGTTCAACTGGGTGAGTATTATCTTCCCACAGCAGACAAGCAGATGTCTTATGGGAAAACCATGTATGGAATACCATCACAATAGAACTTCCTGCTCTCACCACCAAGGGATACGAAGAGGCAGAAAGGCCTAAGCCGGAAGACTTTGTGGTCTAGCACAGGCCTAACTCCACCGAGCTTCCTGTTTAAAAAAGGAAGCTGCCCCAGTGCTTGCTTGGAACAATGAATGGCACATCCCTGATACACGTCAGTAGCCATCTCACCATCTTGTGGCAACAAATTCCACCATCTGTGTCTGTGCTGTCTGTATTGCCCTTTCTCTGTGTTTTGACCCTCACACTATTTAGGGCCTCATTAGACAAGATGTTGATTCTGTATCTAAAGCAGATCCTTAAGAGGAAAAAAAACTGTCTGTTTATTCTGTTTATGAATGTCAGTTTGGCAAATTAGCCTGCTGTTATTTCAAAACTGGTCAACTGAGAGACTGCAAAGTGTTGCTTTTACGTTTGATAACCCAGGCCTGCAACGCTTAAATATTTGTTTGTTTGGTAGGATGTTGCAAGAGGAGGAAATACATATTTTCTTCAATATGTGATCCATCCCCTACATTCAGCAGATTACCTCATGTTCAAATATTAAGAAAAAGGAAAATAACATTCCTTTCTATGCACACTCCCCAAACCATACATAATTGTATATTCCTCCATCCTGTCTATCTTCATTTGTTCTATTTTCTTGAAGTCCCCTCTCCCTCCCAGACCTGAGCTCTAAAGTTCAGGAGAGTTTGGGAGAGCTCAGATTTAAGAGTTAAAATGAGGTCTGAGTAAAGGTAATATTCCACACCCCCACACAAATAAATTTATTCAAGGTGAGACTGTCTATCTCAGCCTGTGTTGTCTCTTTTGACCAGCTGTGGCTCTCTCGAGTCTACAGATCTTCTGCACTACACGCAGGTACTAGATCCCTTTACAGCTGACAATGCCAAGGATGGAATCTATGGGTTTCTGAATGTGCTCTAAGCTTGAGTGTTGGTGTCTTCCAAAGGACCTATGTCAGGCATGGCACAGTGTAGTCCCCCAGATCTTTTCAGACTGCAGCTCCCAGAATCCCTCACTATTGACTCTGCTGGTTAGAGCTAGTGGGAGTTGTAGGTATTTTAAAAAAATTCCCTCCCCTGTTCTGCAGCTCCCAAAATCTTGTCCAAGATGTAAGGGGCCCCTACGGATCCCCAAAAATAAGGGAGGGGGGAGAAAATAGGAAACTTTTAATTTCCCAAAATGACTGTGGCTGATTACATCATCATAGTCATCATGGCGTAAAGCTGCACAACAGGATTCCAGACACACTGTTGTTTCAAAAAGTTTTGTAAGCCTACTATCCCCTTTCCTCCATAGTGCCCTGAAGAAAGTTTAACATTTGGATTGCTTATTCTAAACATCTAAACATATATAACCAGTATGTTAGATGTCTAAAATGACTAAACACCTGTGTGTATGACTCTGGCCCATTTAAGATGCTGACATAGCAATGACTATATACTGAGTAGTTTCCAGCCTTGAGTGGGCATGAGCTATTAGGCAACAACTCCCATCATCTCTAGACAGTGTGGGCAACCGTCAGGGTTGATATCCATGGAAATCCAATGACATCTGGCTTTGGATTGTTTCTCTCACCTTTCACGATGGTTCCCAAATGGCCACATTCTGGTAACCAACAGGAGCCTTTAGGAATTGGAGACACTTGTTGCATGAGTCAGTAATCAGCCACAAACATCTACATCCCAGAAACTGGCTCCAAAAACATGAAACTAAAAAAAGGTGGAAGGACAAGTATGCTGAACTAGTTTGTTTTACAGTCAGAATAAATGTGAAAGAAAAAGAGAACCTGGCAGTCAGGCAGGAAGAGAGAGGCGAATATATAAACAATGGGAGTCAGATAAGCTGCTGTGCCCCAGTCAGGTGTATGCAATGGGTCACATCCCACACTTTCCACCTGTAAACACTGGTGTTTTCATCAGCCGAGATCTCCCCAAAACCCCTGTCCCTGGTTTGTTCCTTTGGGCACCTACCTACACATTCTCCGTCAACTTCTTCAAAGCCAGTGATGCACAAACACTGTCCCACTGGGACCAACCACTCTCCATTGGAACTGCAATGCATCTTGGGCGGAAAGCCTGCTTTTTCAGCTGCATTCTTCAGACAGGTACCAGGCACTTCCGACAGCCCCTCAAAGCTGGCAAGTGTCTCTGGGAAGTGTGCCAGTCGACGCACAGTTTCTGAGCAGGTCTTGTAGTAAACTCTCACGCCAACCAGTGCCACACAAGCCCCAGAGTTCTGAAAAGCCAGATAGAAGCCACGTTGCTGTAGCTTTCCTATGGAGCACACTTCCATGTTAAGCTGCAAGGCACCCAACTCAACATCCCGGGTTGTGAAACTACGATCACCTGCCACGGTGTTGATCTGGAAGAGAAAAGAATTCATCTCAGTTCATGCAGCCAGTATAATCAACCGTTGTCTTTCACTGGAATGAATAACTTCAGTCTGCATAGGTTTGCATATTTAAACACCAATGCATATCTTCTCTCTGTGTAGGGACCTAGCCTATCAAGAAGGGTTTAACCCACCTTTATCCTCAAGACACAGATTTTCTGGGACAGGTTTTTTTTACGTGAGATAATTCAAGTAGACATTACCTTCCTGCTTTCTACAGTTTAGATTAATACAGCTCAAGATGCAGCCAAAATTTTACCACTTCATTCCACAGAAAACAAACTACATACTTGGGTCTTCAGCAAGATCTCCGAATATGAAGGCAGAAATTGGCATTGCAAAGATAGCCTTGGATGTTGACACAGACATGCCAAAGACAATCTTGCACCCCCTTTCTCATACATATTGCGAAATGATGAATTTTGCTAAACACTTCACTCTAGGTTCTTTTTGGGTCTAAGATAGCCAAATGAAAAGGAAAACAGTGTTTTGTCTTAACACTTGTGTGAAAGGGAGTTTCAGCAGCTATGTACTGTAGGCTTGTATGATGAGACCCAGTGTACTGTGATGGATTCATTGTTGGGCTGAGACCCAGGAGGCATTAGCCACCCAAACGTACTGGGCTCTGGCATTGCCAAAACCACCCCTTAAATATCACAAAAACCTCAGAAATCCTATTAGGGTCACCCTGACTTCGACTTGGTGGAATATAACACACATAGACTGCATGGCAAACTATGCCTAGGATGGCTACATGATAGAGACAACAGGGCTTCTGTAGCTACTGTGTGTGTAGAAAAGGAAATTCAGTTATCCCTTATCACCAATGTTACATCTGCCTAAACGTTCTCTTCAAGACACTAGTCCTGTGTGCCACTTCTTGTGGCCATTCTATGTGGATCTTCACACTAAGTGCTTTCCACTATCCCTTATCATTAGTGAAAGTTAGACTAATATAAGAACTGTAATGATTTAGTTAATGACTTTAATTTCTGGAAGAAATTTCTAGAAGAACAACTTTATTTTCTAGAAGAAATTAAAGAATTATACTATGGCACTGAACAAAGTCGAATATGTGACACAGAATGGCACAATGTTAAGAAAGAGTCCAAAAATCCGTCATGCTGTGTTGTTGTTGTTTAGTCGTTAAGTCATGTCCGACTCTTCATGACCCCATGGACCAGAGCATGCCAGGCCCTTCTGTCTTCCATTGCCTCCCGGAGTTAGGTCAAATTCATGTTGGTAGCTTCAATGACACTGTCCAACCGTCTCGTCCTCTGTCGTCCCCTTCTCCTCCTGCCTTCACACTTTCCCAACATCAGGGGCTTTTCCAGGGAGTCTTCTCTTCTCATGAGATGGCAAAAGTATTGGAGCCTCAGCTTCAGGATCTGTCTTTCCAGTGGGCACTCAGGGTTGATTTCCTTCAGAATGGATAGGTTTGTTCTCCTTGCAGTCCAGGGGACTCTCAAGAGTCTCCTCCAGCACCACAATTTAAAAGCACCAATTCTTCAGCCGACAGCCTTCTTTATGGTCCATCTCTCACTTCCATCTCTCACTTCATGCTGTACCTAATTCAAAAAGTATGGTTTTGCTAAAGAGCATTTCAATGCTGCCTTATAATTTCTTAGGGAAAGAAAAAGGGATTTTTCTCCCTGAAAAATAGGTTACAGTTGAAAATACACAGGGAAGAGAATCACGTTATCTCTCTATAAAGATTCATTAAGAAGATCCAAAAGAACTAGGAAGGTCACAGAATGTAAGTCAAAGGAAATTCATTTAAAAAACACACCAGAGGTTAA